TGTATTATATTTTTCTAATATTTTTTCTACTAACATTTCATTATTTCTTTTTTAAAATAAATGAATGCAGAATCTTGTCAAATGGATTATCGACAACTGTTGATAGAATCATATGAGTCTTGCCTTTCCTTTTGTGGAAAAGGTGAATCACATTGATCATTAAATCATTATTGTCTGTCTGGGGAAAGCCTCACTTGGTTGTGATATACAAACCTTTTAATATATTGCTGAAATTAACTTGACAAGATTTAGTTGAACATTTGTTAATAACTGTGTTCATCAGAGGTATTGGACTACAGTTTTATTTGTTTTGTTTTTGATAATCTTGTCTGGCTTTTGTATCATGTTTCTGAAAACTTTCCCTTTTCCTCAATTAAAAAAAAATCTTGAAAGGATAGGTATTACTTGTTCTTTGACGGCTTTGTTGGACTCACTAGTAAACCTATCTGGTCACTGGCTTTTATTTTATGGGAATCATTTGATAACTCCTTCAGTTTCCTTACATGTGTTCCTGTGTTAGATGTCTTCCTAACTCATTCTAGGAAAGGCATACACTTCTAATAATTTTTCCATTCCTTCCAAATTTTCCAATCATTGTCATAAATGTTTCATACTGTGATGCTCTCTAATTCTGAGATAACTGTTAAAACTGCATTATTTTCTATTTCTATTTATTAGAGTTCTCACTCTTTTTATTAATTATCTTCTGAAGTTTGCACTATTTCAGATGTGTTTTTTTTTAGTTCACTGATTATTCGAAGCAATTTATTTGACTTCAATTTTATTTCCATTTTATTATTTTAAATATTTCCTTTTACTACCTTTTGATTTAATTTGTTCCTTTTTTTAATTTCTGAGTATGTGATATAAGATTATTTTTGAGTTTTTTCTTTTTTTTTTGATGTAAGTATATGTTGTATCGTTCCTCCTTCAGTATTGATTACATTCTTATAGATTTGTCTTCATTTTGTCTCCAGATACATATTTTAAAATATCTCCCTTGATTACTTTGTTAATTCAATAATCATTCAGTAGTGCTTAGTAATTTTCAGTTTCCATACATTAGTGGCTTTTCTTGTTTCTTTTTGTACTTGATCTCTACACTTATACTATTGTGATTAGAAAAGATTTTTGATATAATTCTGAACTGCATGAAGACATTGGCATATGTTTTATGACCCCCAAATGACATCTATCTTCAAGAAGGTTCCACAAGCACTTAAGAAGGTGTATTTGTTTGCTTTTTGAAGGGTGTGATGCCCTGTAAAATCTCATGCCCTTATGTTCCTCCCTCTGCCCTTTTGAGATCCTCCTTTGCTCTCCCTTAATATATGCTTCAGAGCTTTTGTTTGGTTTCTCTATTTTCGGCATATAAGTGAAACCATCCAACATCAACATTTATCTTTCTCCTTCTAGCTTATTTTAATTACCATAATCCCTTTCAGCTCTATCCATGATGCCTCAGATTGCATAGGCCTATCCTTTTGATTGTGGAGTAATATTCCATTGAAAAAAAAATACCAAAACTAGTGGGCCTGTTTGTCAATTTGTGAGCATTTAGGCTGTTTCTGTATTTTGTCTATTATAAATAGACATGTGATAAACATAGGTGCAGGCTTTCTTTCAAATTAGTGCTTTTGTGTCCTTGGGGTAGACTCCTATGGGTGAAATATATGGATAATATGGCAGATTCATATTTAGTGTTCTAAAAAAGCTCCACATAACTTTCCATAATGGTTGCTTCAGTTTACAGTGTTGTCAGGAATGTAAAAGTTTCCTTTTTCTCCACATCTTCTCTAGTATTTGCCATTTCCATTTTTTTTAATGTGGGCTATTCTCATTGGTGTAATGTGGTATCTCATTGTTGTTCTGCTTTACATTTCTTTGAAATTTGGTGATGTTGAGTTCTTTTTTTTTTTTTTTTTCATATCCCTGTTGAACATTTACATTTCTTCTTTGTGAAAGTATTTTAGGTTCTTCTGTACACTTTTTGACAGAGTTGTTTGCTTTGTTTTGTTAGGTGTGTAAGTGTTTTATAGTCATTTTACATCAGGCTCTTATCTGTTGTTCAAATGTATTTTCTCATTCAGTAAAATGTCTCTCATTTTTATTACTGTCTCTTTTGCTGTAAAGAGGCTTTTAAATTTTATGTTGGGGGCTCATTGGTTATTTGATTAAAGAATTGTTAGGTCTAAAACTGAACGGAGAAAGCAGTAACTGGATAAAAATGAAAAAAAAAAAGATGTAAGAAATTTTAAGAAAATAAAAAAAAAACTGATTTCAGGAAAAAAAAAAAGAAACTCAGATCCATTCGGTCTATTTCTTATGTAAGTATGTAAGGCTATAGTTTCCTTTACTCTCCTGTTCAATTTATCTATTCACTGATGCAGTTGTGATATTGATATATCTTATTACTATTGTGCTACAGTCGATTCTTGTTTTTAGATTTGTTAATGGTTGTTTTAGTGCTCATTCATTTATGTCACATGTACTGGCAATTTTATTATGTCTTTCTTATATATTTATACAATGAGGTAATATCCTTTCCTTTTTGACTTATTAACTAAAAGACAATTTTGTCTATTATAATTATGACTGAACCTGGTCTGCATGGAAAATTGTTTTTAACCATTTACGTTGAGCCTATCTTTATAGCTTAGATGGGTCTGAGATAATAGGAAGTTGAGTTTACTTTTCCTTTTTATAGATAAGTTTAGTACATTAGCATTTAGAGTGATCATTGATATACCATTTTGACTTTACTTTTCTTGTCCTACTTATTTCCTTGTATTTTTTTGAGTGATTTTCCATGTTTATTTAAATATTAGTGCTCCTCTTAACATTTATTGTAGGGGAAATTCCTTGAGAATTTGTTGGTGTAAAATAACTTTGTCTTACAGAGTAGAGTTTTCTTATCTGGAAATTTGATTATTTTATTTTATAATAATTTATTTTTACATATTTTTGTGCATTTTTCCATCTCCATTGTAATCCTCTTGTGCTTCCCATCAGCAAATCACCCATGTGCCCTCACCATAGTCCAGTGCATTTCCATCCCATTCCCCGCTCCACCCCACAAAATGTCTCTGGTATATAGCTGTTCATCATTATCATTATCTTCTTGCCTGTTCCGTTATATTCCTGCTATTAGAGAAACGATCTGGTATTTTTCCTTTTCTTTCTGAGTTATTTCAATAAGCATGATTTTTTCCAGCTCCATCCATGTCGCTGCAAAAGACATGTTTCTTTCTTTCTTTCTTTTTTTTTTTTGGTTGCTGGGTAATATTCCATTGTATATATGTACCACATCTTTTTAATCCAGTCATCCACTTTTAGGCATTTGGGCTGTTTCAATTTCTTTCCAATTGTGAATAAGGCAGCAATAAACATGGGGGTGCAGTTATATTTTTGAATTAGTGTTTTTGTGTGTTTTGGGAGTGGGATGGCTGGGTCAAGGGAAGCTCCATGTTTAGCAGTTTGAGGAAATTCCAAACAGTTAGTGGTTGTTCCAGTTTGAATTCCCACCTTCAGTGCAGGAGAGTTCCTTTTTCTCCAACATCCTCACCAACATTTGTTGTTGTTAGTTGTTTGGAGACGTGCCATTCAAGTGATGTTGAAATTTTTTTTTTCATATGCTCATTGGCCATCTGCATTTCCTCTTTGGAGAAGTGTCTTTTTAGCTCTTCTGTCCATTTTTTGATGGAGTTGTTTACTTTATTTTTGTTGAGTTTCATCAGTTCTTCGTGATCAAACATTTATTGCTAGTTTTGTGTGAGAAAAATTTTTCCCCAATCAGTGGGATGTCTGTCTGTTTCATGTAATAATGTCTCTTTTGCTGTACAGAAGCTCTTTAACTTGATGTACTCCATCTATATATCCTTGCCTTCACTATCATTGTATTGGGTGCTCTATCTTTAAATATGTCACTGAAGTGTATGTCATGTAGTGTTTGGCCCATCTTTGCTTCCAGGAATTTTATGGTTACTGTTCTTATGTCTATGTCTCTAATCCATTTGGAGATGACTTTTGTGTTTGGTGAGAGATAGTGATCTAGTTTCATTTTTTTGCATGTAGCTTCCCAGTTTTCCCAGCACCATTTGCTGAACAAACTTTCTTTGTTCCATTGTATCTTCTTTGCTCCTTCGTCAAATACTAGCTGTCCATAAACGTGCAGGTTTATATCTGGGTGTTCTATCTTGTTCCATGCAGTACCATGCAGTTTTGATTGTTATGGCTTTGTAGTATATCTTGAAGTTTGGGATAGTAATGCCTTCATTCTCTTTCTTCCTAGTCATGAAAGATTTGGCTATTTGAGGTCTTTTGTTGTTCCATATGAATCTCATCAATATTTTTTTTTCAATTTCTTTGAAGAATGTCATTGAGACTTTTATTGGGATGGTGTTAAATCTGTATGTTGCAGCCCTCCCTGGTGGTGCAGCGGGTTAAATCACAGCACTAAGAATCAAAAGCCACTCTGCATGAGTTCGATCCCCACCTGCCCCCGAGGTGACCACATGGTGCAGCAGATGTCTCCTGATCCACCTGCTGCTCCCCTCAGCAGTGTACTTCGTTGATCTGCCTGTTCTACTCCCCACTCTGTCACTTCCCCTACGCCTCTGGCCTGTAGCCCAGTTCTGAATGCACAAATAAATAAATCTTAAAAAAAAAAAAGAAAAGAAAAAAAAATCTGTATATTGCTTTTGGTAAGATGTCCATTTTGATGATGTTAATTCTCCTGATCCATTAGCAGGGGATGTCTTTTCATTACATGGTGCTTTCTTGTATTACTTTTGTGCTTTGTAACTTTCTTTGTATAGGTATTTTACCTCTTTTGTTAGGTTAATCTCCAGTAATTTGATTGTTTTTGTTTTAATTGATTTTTTTTTTAATTTCTGTTTCTTCTGCTTGGTTGTTTGTGTATAGGAAGGCCTCTGATTTTTGTGTGTTGATTTTATAACCTGCTACCTTGCTAAACTGGTTGATGGTTTTAACTAGTTTCTCTGGAGTTTTAGGGTTTTCCGTGTAGATTAACATATTATCTGCAAATAAAGACAGTTTTACTTCTTCTTTCACCATTTGGATTCTTTGTATGTCTTCTTCCTATCTTATTGCTGTGGCAAAAACTTCCAATGTTTTTTGAAGAGCAGTGGTGATAGTGGACACCTTTGTCTTGTTCCTGATCTCAACTGAAAGGATTTTAGCTTTTCTCCATTGAGGATATTATTGGCTGTGTGTTT